GTTTTCGCATCAGGGTAAATGATTCCCTAGAAAATGACTTCGCTGAAACCATGGTCTGACTTTGACCTGCCATAGGTCAGCGACCTTACAATGTACATCTTAATTTCTTATACCAAACGATCCGCTATTCGATTTTCAACAGCTATGCCGAGTTTGGCGCAGCTGCGCCGCGCCGTTCGGAAATTATTCTGGAAAACCCTCGGGGTAGGTCAATTTGACCCACTCTTTGTTGTTAAATGGTGTTTTCGGGCGCGTCGACTGCAGTAGTCATTTGGGCCCCATAACGGTTTTGTTTTACCTAACTCATGAACCGTGTAAAGAGTCCCGAAGTCGATATGTTTAAGGAATAAAAAGACCTGTCAAAATTCAAGAAAGCCCGAGTTATCTCCTAAAATGTCACAGAGCGTCAGGGGTGAGTCACGCCGCCCAAGGCAGCGTCGACATTCTTCCTCGAGGGGTGGACACGATATGAACGCATGACGAACGGTGAGAACAGCCCCACATCAATGGCAGATAGATCTTTCGGCTCCTTGCAACAGATAACCGTGAGTTGCACACGTGTTCGCAATACGTAGTCTGCAGAGCACCACCTCCTCTTGCCTGACTGCGAGAACATGATAACCACTGACCCAGCTTGGGTTTTATTGCTCTGAGCTTATTTTCATTTGTCCCATCCCAACAACGCTGCCATTCCTTCTCCACAAAGGTTTTTATTGCAGGGTAAAAATATCTAGCAAGGATGGAAAGATACCGTACACATGGAGCCGCTCGCCCTGCAGCCGCGTCAACCACCTCGTTGCCGGCGATTCCAATGTGACTGGGGATCCAACACAGGATGACTTTCTTTCGGGCCTGATCCAGTTGAGTCAGACGTCCTAAAATATCCTGTACAAGGGCACATGATGGATAAAAATACCTCAGACTAAGAACACTGCTCAGAGAGTCTGTCAAAAACAGATGTGAAGGTTCGTCACTGACCTCAATGAAACACAGCGCCTTGGTGACTGCTACCAACTCCGATGTGAACATCGGCGCGTGTGGAGGCAAAGAAAACGACCGGGTGACGCCACCGCTCGCAAACGCACAGCCCACACCGCCAGAAGCTTTAGATCCGTCCGTGTAAGTAAGTGTGTAACCGTCCTATAACGCCATACGCTCAAGTGCCCTCGACCTCATTATATCTGGCAAGACGACACTGTTTCGTTTCGACCAAAGACGTATCTATTGATGGCGGGGTCAAACTCCGGGGGGCAGTGGACAGATGGTCCACCCGGTTCAACCTTCGAATGGGAATTTCGCTTTCCCGCAGCAAGGCTTGTATTCGGAGGCCAAAGGTTACAGCATATACCCGAGGTGCACTGCGACGAAAACGCACAGCAGGCCGTGAAAAAACTGCGTTACATGCCGGATGGGAGGGGAACTGTCGCAGCTTACGTGCATAACGCATACCGAGCATTTTCCCTCTCGCTGACAAGAGCGGTTCGTGTGATTCCACCATGAGGCCCGCGGCAGGTGATGTGTGGAACGCCCCTGTGATTACACGTAAAGTGGTGTGATGGACAATGTCCATGACGCGTGTGGTGAATTCGCACGCGCTGTCAAAAATAAAACATGCGTAGCCCCGCTTAGAACGCATGATTGAGCGATGCAATAGCAAAAGCGTAATTCTATCTCCCCCATACGAGGTGCGAGAAACGCATTCTAGCATGTTCAAAGATTTAAAACAACTTTTGCGTTGCCTTTTAAGATGAACTTTTTACGTCAGTCGGCGGTCAATGTATACCCCAAGGTATCTAGCCACAGGCTCCGTTGATGCTCCGAAGATGCGTTGGCCACACAGACGGATAGACATATTGCCGCATTGCCGACTACGACAAAAATGCATGGCTACAGTCTTGCTGCTAGAAAACCTAAACCCGTTTATGGTGCCCCACTTCTCGATACGATCCACAGCCAACTGAAGATGCCGCTCCATCGATGAAGCTCTTGCCGCGTTGGTCCAAATGGTAAAATCATCAACAAAAAGGCCACGATCTACAAACTGTGGCGGCCTAACCCCGATGTCTTTTATCATAACGATGAACAGTGATACGCTCAGGACACTACCTCGGGGCACACCATTATCTTGATGGTGCCTCTCAGAGCGCGCGCTCCCAACACGGACACGGAAATAACTGTCAACTAAAACGTTCTGAAGAAAAGTGCCCATATTGCCCCGTATACCATACCTCCATAGTTTGACAAGAATACCATGACGCCATGTGGTATCGTAGGCGCCCTCTATGTCAAAGAAGACTGCACCAGTGTGTCGATTTGCTTTAAATCCCTCACGAATATAGCGTCAAGATGTAAGAGATTATCAACTGTGGTGTGATTCTTTCTAAAAACCACCCTGCGCGTTTGTAAAAATGCCGTGATGCTCCAAAACCAGGTTAAACGGACGTTAACCATCTTCTCAATCAACTTACAGAGCGATGACACAGGAGAAATGGGTCTATAATTTGAAGGATCTAGCCCACTTTTTCCCGGCTTCAAGAGAGGCACGAGGGTAGAATCCCGCCAAGAAGCTGGAAATTCACCTCTGGTCCGAAGCGAATTAAAGACCACTAATAAAACGCGAAGCACGCGAGGCGGCAGATGCTTCAGCACATTGCTGTGCATAGTGTCCGAGCCTTCTGACACGCTGCGAAGCTTGGTTATCACCGATTTCGACTCAACAAACGTGAAAGGGTCATTATATGAGTGCAATTCACTCGACGAAAAAGTTCACTGCAGATTGCTTACATCGCGTTCTAAGTCGCACAAACTGTGGGTTTGTGTTACCACCTACGCTGCGTTGGGCTAGGGCCCGGGTAACCTCATTCGCAACATCCAACGAGCGCGTCACAGCCTGGCCATTAACGCATAGCACCACCGGAGCTATGGGTGAAAACACCCGAAATACGGTTGATCCGGGCCCGCATCTGCGATGTCGGCGTAAACCGGCTTAGCGTGCTCACGTTCGCGCACCCGGAAGCACGCTTCGCTTTCTTTACCATACGACGAGCAAAAGCTCTCGCCTTTTTAAATGCCATTAAGTTTTCTATGCTGCTCCTGGAGCCAAAAGCTCGAAACGCACGCTTGCGTGACCGAATGGCGCTCCGACACTCCTCTATCCATCACGGAACAGGGGGGCGCCCGAAGTGCGTGGGATACACCTGTTGGCACACTAAAAGTTTTCGAGTAAAATCCTCGATAGAGAGTGGCGCCCCCCCCCCCCCCCCAGGGTCAGATAAGAACCTGAATGTGAAAGAAATGAATAAGGACCAGATAAGATGCCTGAAACCGAGTCTCAAACTCGCACCAGTCGGCCTTTTTCAAATTCCAACATTGTGGCCTTACACCCAATGTTCCACCTCTCGTAAGCCAGACCCACACAGGAAAGTGGTCACTTCCCATCGGGTTATCACCGACACTCCACTCAAGGTACTGAACCAACTGGGGACTGGAGACGCTGAAGTCTAACGCCGACGTCTGACCGGATGACATTGTGACGCGTGTACGAGTTCCAGTCTTTAGAATGCATAATGAAGCACCATGGATAAAATTCGCACACGGCCTTCCGCGAGTGTTCGTAGTGTCACACCCCCATGCGGTGTGTTTGCACTGAAATCACTTAGAAGAAAAAGTGAACATGGAGGGGGTTCACCAGAAATCCCCCAGAAAAAAACATGGACGGAGTTCAGACAGCAAATATTGGATGTGCACCGACAGGAAGGCAGTACCTGGTGGAAGGTAAAGCGAACAGTGATGTGACGCCGATTAAGATAAGCCGCGGGCCACAGCCTGAAGCGTGGACCGCAAGTTTAACCTCTTTGCTGGCACACTATGGTGAACTGCAAGGACAGCGCCACGCGCGATGCTCTGCGTCAGCACGTTGTTGCGAAACGTCGCATATCCCTTCAAAGACCAGCAATGCTGAGACGATAGCTTAGTCCCTTGCAGCGCTACGGCTGCGGGACAGTGTTTGCCGATAACGGCCTGGAGGTCGGGGGTATTCGCCCTGATCCCTCTACAGTTCCACTGTAAAAAGGAATGTAAAGGGGGCGTATTAAAAGTCAGCTAGGAGTCCGATATTAAAAACGGATACATTTTAAAAGAACTGGGCTGCGCCAGTTGCAGGAGTAGACGTTTCAGGTTGGGGGCCACGTCCCAGCTCTGCAGGACCATGCCCCACTCAAAGACGGGTCCTGGGACTCCCTCCGTCAGATGGGGACGGGGGACCGGCCGGGGCACACTTCACGCCAGCGTACCCCGGCCGGGGTGGCGGCGGGGGAGGGCCCATCAGTGGGCCTCTACCAGACGTCTGGGGACCAGCGGGGGCCTCCACCGGCCTTCCGGGCGTTGGAGTAGTGCTGCGGGGGACGTACTTCTTGCCCGCACCGGACAAACGGTTGGAGGCCTTGACCTGCTCTCGCTCGGCCAAGCGCGCCCGCTTGGCATCGCGTGCGCCTCTCCGCCTCGTGACGCTCCAACGCTTCTGACGCTCATCCACGCGCATTTGCCAGCGGCGTCGGGAGCGACGAAGGCAGCGCCGTGCCCGGAACGGGAGACGAGGGCAGAGGCTTGTCCAACATGGGTGACGACGGAGGCCGCGGACCGCGGCCGTGCCGGACCACCGTCCACCCCCCCCCCCCCCTCTCCCGAAGGTACCAGCGGAGCAGGCGATGTCGTCAGGGTGGCCGCTGCCAAGCTCCAGTCTGGTCTGGAGCGCGGAGACCCTCACCGCAGGCGCCTCAGCGAATCTCTCCGTGACCACGTGGACCAGTGCGTGACCCTTCTATGTCCTCACATACCTGTCTGTGGGCCTCTCAGCGACGCTGACCACACATATCCACCAGCGAACCCATCGGTGACAACAGGAGTCTGCCTCCCAGCCCCAGATGACACCACAAACTCCTGCGGGAGGATCTCAGAAGCCCCACAGAGCAGCCAGCGGGCCTCTCAGTGACACCACGAACCTGTCTTTGAACCTCCCGGTGACCAGCTGCCGTACAGTTTCGAACAGCTCGGCTCTCGGTCCTGGACTGGAGAATCGGCGGCGCAGAGCCAGCTGGTTCAGATGGTGCAGCCGGTGCGGGTCCAGCCGACACGAGTTGGTGTGTACCCGGCTCAGGTCGAACTGGGGACATGCTGGGCTCAGGACTCAGCGGCGCCGCACCATCCGCACCGAACAGACAAGACGGCTCGACACGAGGTCAAATTGAGTTTCAACACAAGCCAAACATACCACCCGTGCGCTGGTGCATTCTGGTCCCCGCGGCTGGTGAGCGCATCCATCTGCCTGTCTCGCGACGGAGCCCAGATCCCGATACGCCGGGTCGCTTGATCTTCCTGCTTGGTCAGATGCATAAGGAAATGCATCTTACATATGAGCATCCACACCACCCTGATCGGCATCTAGCAGCAGCATTTTGTCTGGTTGCGTACCGATGCCGACCGGTGGGCCTTTTCCACCGCTGCTCTATCCTGCGCCAGGCTGTCCTGCCCGTGCTTCTCGCGCGCCCGGTGCCCGCCTGCCGTGAGCTATCGCACCTGTTCGATGAGCTGCGTGAGATCCGTGAGCGCAGTGTGCTCCAGCTGGCGGAAGCCCGCCCGCCGTGAGCTATCGCACCTGTTCGATGAGTTGCGTGAGATCCGTGAGCGCAGTCTGCTCCAGCTGGCGGAAGCCCGCCCGCCGTGAGCTATCGCACCTGTTCGATGAGATGCGTGAGGTCCGTGAGCGCAGTCTGCTCCAGCTGGCGGAAGCCGCCGCCGGTCAGGCACACGTAGTTGAGCAGCGCCTCCGGCTGGAAGCCGCGCGCCAGGTGGCTCTCCACGCTGACGTCCGAGTGCCGCTTGCTCAGTTTGGTGCCGTCCGGGTTGGTGATGAGCGGCAGGTGGGCGAACTGAGGCGGCTCCCAGCCGAACGCCCTGGCAGCCGGGCGGCACGGCCCGTCAGTCGAGACGCGCACACGCGCCGCTCTGCACCGGATGCACAGCACCCGGATCCAGGGCTGAAGCCGCCACTCCGGTGAGCAGCACCGGACCGGCCGGCTCACTCTGAAGCCCGTCCTTCGCCTCTTACGACCAGGGTCATTCCGGCAGGGTGAGGAAAGTGCTACACCTCACCACAGCAGCAGTTCCACCCTAGAGAGTGAGGAAGCTCACTATCACAACCTGAGAGCGATGCAGCTCACTATCAGACCGCGAGAGACATAGCTCACCCCACACTCACAAGAATTCCACACACACAAGAGTAAGGTAGACCACTATCACACTCCGAGAGAGACGTATTGCCGCCTCACACCAGTTGCAAGTGTCGCCCGGCAGGTGTGGGTGTGGGCAGGTGGGCGGGCCCACGGGTATACAGCGCCTTACCTGTACAACACTAGGTGTTTGGACGTGGACACTTGCCACTCGACACCGCGCAACACGTGCGTCACCCCCATCATCCGGTCGTCCACGACGCTGGCCAGGTGGTAGGTGGGAAAGCCGTCGGCCTTCAGCAGCACGGGGTCGCCCTCCTGGGCGGCCACGTCGAACGCCACCGGACCGTACACCAGGTCCGGAAATGGCGCCGCCGTGTCCTCCAGCTGGCGGCGCGGTACCGAGCGGCGTCACCGTCTGCGGCCGCCGCCTGCCGCGAGCCCAGCCGCTCACCACCGGAGCCGCCAGCAATACTGGCACACGCAGCTTCGGACAGCCCCAGCACTACTGGCACACGCAAACCTCGGACATTCCCAGCACTACTGGCGCACGCAGCCTCGGACACCCCCAGCACTACTGGCACACGCAGCCTCGGACATCCCCAGCACTACTGGCACACGCAGCCTCGGACATCCCCAGCACTATTGGCACACGCAGCCTCGGACATCCCCAGGCACAGCCATCACCACGCAGGTTATATTCATCCGGTCAGGTTTGATAACGTCATATTGCATGAAGCGTCACACAGCAGCCCACAGTTGCGATAACACCCGCAACAACTCACAGACGTCAGTGCTAATCACCTACAATTGGTCACAGCCACAGTCACAGCCATTCACAGGCGATCCGCAGCCACGGCTGCTACAAGGCACATCACTGGCGAGCCTTTACTCGGCTCACGGTAGTTCATAAACCGGATGGCCAGACTGCACTCCAGCTGGTAACCAGTCACTTCACATTGAACCAATCACCTCCAGTATGCGTCCCACAGCTGTGCATGCGGCGCCTACCCTGACATCTCCAATCCGAGTCGCACAGCCGTGTACACACCTTCCCTAACCTCCAGTCCAAGTCACAAAGCTGTGTGCCCCCCCCCCCCTAACCTCCAGCCCGAGTCCCCCAACCGTGTGTGCGGCGCCCACCTTCAGCCTGACCACGTGCTTAACGCCGCGCTCCAGCAGGTGGCGCCGCTTGTCGTCGGTCAGGTGGCGGCAGCGGTTGTCGTAGCGCGGCTTCTCAGCGCGACTGACGGCCTTGCGGCGCAGCAGGTCCAGTCGGCCCCGGCTGCAGAAGCAGCGGTACGCGGCGCCACTGGCCACCAGCTGCTCCGCGTGCTCTTGATACAGCGCCGTCCGCTCCGACTGCACGTACGGGCCGCGCGCGCCGCCCACCGACGGCCCTTCGTCCGGGCACAGACCCATCTGGGGCCAGACGGAGCCAGTCAGACCCCCCGGCCCCTCGTCCGGACGTAGGCCCATCTGGGGCCAGCCGGAGCCGGTCAGACCCTCGGGCCCCTCGTCCGGACATAGGCCCATCTGGGGCCAGCCGGAGCCGGTCAGACCCCGATGCCGTCAGCCAGGCGCGAGCGAGTGCACCAGGAGAGAACGTCAGTGCCACAACACGAGGTGTCACGGAGTTCACTCGCACGGACCCCGACGCCGTCAGCCAGGCGCGAGGGAATGCACCAGGAGAGAGCGTCAGCGCCACAGCACAATCTGTCACGAGACTCATTCAGACAGCAGACTCCTCGTCCGTCACTAGATACTCAGCACAAGGTGTCACGAGGTTAACTCAGACGGCAGACTCCTCGTCCGCCGCTAGATGCTCAGCACCCGCCGCTATCAGGCGACTCAGACGTATCACCAGACCATCGGATAACACCCACGTCGCTGAGACATCAGACGGCTCGACCACCGGAGACCGTGAACACCAGCTGTCGGTGGGACACAACCGACCATCGGCCGATGGCTGTACCGTTTGCAGGGTGCTCAGGAGCCGATCTGTAGCGCCAGGCACGGTGCGGCTTCGGTCCGTGTCCTCAATGCGCAGCACGAACGTTCCCCCGTGTGAACGGGCGAACAGATAGTTGTAGAGTGCTGAGCGCAGACTGCCTAGGTGCAGGTCACCTGGTGGACAAATAGGCAGACTGCAACTGCACTGATATTGTACACCCCATGCTCAGTCCCAAGTGCTTCACCTTGCTTAATTCATATCTGAGACAGGTTTGATCCCAAAGGACTCAACACACCAGATAAAGAACAAATATTTCACAAGGTATTGAAAAAACAATGGTACACAAGTACAGTATGAGTTGCATAGCAAAAACAATGGCATCACAGATGGAAAATTCTTGGCAATAACTGGGTTGAGAAGGTGCCAAAACAAACATTTTCCAATATAAAAAATGCCAGAATTGCTCACTTCAATAACAATTGATGTAGTTGCCACAGTATGTGCCATACTGCCTCCACTACCCATGAATGACACCACTGGCATTTACACACTTTTTGGGCTTGCATGCAAGATTTAACAATAGTTTAGCCTTAACCATTTGAGTGAACTGATTTCTGGGACTGCACCCCTGCTAAACCACGCTTGTTGTGTGAGCTCTCTCTTCACTATGTAATAATGAAATTGCTGGTCAACAGCTTAACTTAGTGGCTAAACTTTAACACACCTACAGGTGGGTGAGCCTGAATTCAGGTAAACTAACCAACTGAGCAGCCTAGGCAGTTCTTGACAGAATAATGGGGATAATTTCACACTGGAATTCCCCTGCCATTTCACATGGTAGCAAACCAATTGTCACCAATTATGCCAGTATCACAATTATGACGCCATTTAAGAAGTTTTTGTTCTGAGAAACATCTAGTTTCTGAGAGACCTCTGAGAAATTTCAATACTGGGATGAATTCACAGCTGTGGAGCAGACCTGAGCACGTCTGCACTAGTTTTTACCCTGCCTCTCCATTGCTCTGTGACAAAAGACAATTTCAAGCAAAAATATATCTAAAACTACAGGCACATCTAATGTGAAAATTCAGCACAACTCCATATAGCCAGAGTTTGGCACAAATGAGTGCCAGGTTCACCACACTGTCACATGGGTGCCCTGTGTGGATCAATTTCTGCAGACTGGAATTTTGGCAGCATAAGACCACAAATATAATGCTTTGAAGGCAAGGTGATCTTATGATGTTGTGATCAGCATTGATTAATGCTTGCACCACCTTTGAGAAAGTATATACAGATTTATAAAACAACTGTATATGACTTATTTAGACCACACTATACCAGCCAGTACTGAGCAATGCATCATATTTCCCTTGAAAATAAAACTATTATAAAAAAATACCATGACAACAATCTGCAGTGCACCACAGTGTGAGAGATGACACTGAGACCAGTAAATGGTAGAAATTCAGCTTAGTGTGTTCAACAAGTCAGACAACCATGAGGTGAAGCCCTGTTGCTTAGCAAGAAACAAGGATAGAGATTTGAGCAAGAATAGGGATAGGGGTACAGTCAAGAGTAGGGATGGGAATATAGGTAGGATTGGGCATGAAGGCTGGAACATGGGTAGGAGTCAGGAAGGAATTGGAGGAGTAGGAGTAAGAGTAGGAGTAGGGGCAGTGGTAGCCCAGGTTAGACTAGGATAGATTAGGTTATGCCTAGGGAGATAGTCAGCCCTATAAGAACAGAAACATTATTTGTTATTACAGTGTTGTGCTGCTCAGAAAAAAGAAAATCCTACTCTGTTGTTGCACATCATGCATAGTGTGGCTGTGACAGCAACTGGCTTGTGGACTATGCCACATTGCTTATATTGTTCTGCTGTACTTGTTATGCAATTGTTTGGGGAAAATGGCCTGGTATGCTGAAGCAGGTGTGCATAAAAAATATAAAAACATTGTAAGCAGTGTCATTTAAGAGTTTTATCATCCCTGCCAATTTCATCTGAAGCTTTATGCTTCAATGATGACCTGAAACTAGTTCACACCATTATAAAATACCAGGGCAAGGTTAACTTATAATAAATAACAAAGCCTTGTTACAAAAGTCTTGAATGGATCAACGCATCATGCAGGATTCCCTGCCCTGTTGGAACTTGGCACCACTACTATATTATTTGATTATATGATGCAAAAATACTTGGCCTGCACTGACCTGTTGGACTCGGTGCAAATCTTGTGCGGACATTCTGGCATATTGCACTAGTTCTCAAATACCTCACGGCCAGCTGGGACAATCCAGAAGTGACCAGCTGCACTGACAGGCAATTCGGCATGTTATGCTAATCTGCAAGCTAAATTAGTTAAGTGGGTGTGCGATGCAATCCAAGTCCTATTCAATACAAAAACACCACTGTGTGGAAAGCGAATAACACTTCTCTGACGGTATTCCTCTGTTTTATGGCCTTGGGTATTCCTCGGTGATGACCACCTGAGCCCAATAATCCCCCCTTCGGCGCTTTTTAAACTAAGTTACATATACTTAGTCAGCATAGCAAGTTACATATAAACGAACCAGTTGCGCCATTTCCACAAGGCAACGAGCTCAGCTGATTAGTAGTAGGAAAATTTTGAATGGCCATGTGATTTGAATGGCCATATGAATGGCCATAAATCACAACCCATGTGATTTATAAGGCTATTTCGTATACATTGGTTGAAAAAAAATCTTTGCCGTCTGATTTTTCTATGATGTTAAAAACACCACAAAATACTCTTTTACAGGACATTGTTTTTGTCTTCTAATTTACTGCGAGCTTGACATGACTGGAGGCTACTATGTATTTTGGTCAAAGCCACATTACCTCATAATGCGGGAAACGGTAGGGAGGTAGGGAGAGCTCTAGGCATAGTGTGAAATCAGGTCAACATTGGTTGCAAATATACCCAGTGCTGAATCGTTCAGAAAATTATAATGTTTCCATCAAATACACAGCAAGTACACTTTTTGCCTTCTGTGTACGATAACGCATCACACAAAAACACCGTCCCTCCCTGTGTGTTTGCCTGCAAGCAGGGACGCAGCAAGAGCCTTACGAGGGAGGCACGGGTTGACAAAGGGCCTCTCCCAAAATAGCGGGATATGGCCCATTTGTTAATGAGGGCATGTACGGTTTATGTGGTTTATGCACGCTCGCATACTTGGACGACAAAAACCTCGATGCTAGGCGTTGCAGTCTCCATATGCCGGGCAATGTCGGCCCCGTGCTAACACTAGGCCAACAAGTGGACGAAAATGATGACGCATTTGAAAGAAGTACCTTTGAACGGTTTTGGACCACCAAATGGTTCATGTAGGGATATTTCGGACGTATATTTCACTGTGTGGTTTTTAGATTGGTGACAATAACCTATTGGTCTTACAGCACCACTCTGCGGTGCTGGGACCTGGTGTGGAACAGGAAGAGTAAAGGTAAAATGTCAGTGTTCTGTGATGCTGTCGCCATCAATCCTTCCAAGAGGACAGCCTCAAAGTTGTAGAAAAGGTTCGCCAAAGTTTGATTTTGGAACTGTGCAAATCAATTTCGAAAAGCAGTTAGAAACATTATTTTACAACGGTCATTGTTGCGCGCTCGGCAGCCGCCCCCCGGCGTTACTTGTAGCGGCCAACGCCGTTCAATTTTACGAAAACTGCAACCCAAGCTGTCGCTATCCTTTCTCCCGGAGATTGTGGGCGTGTCATTGGGGCTTCATACGCACTCAGTTACTGGAACTGTATGGCGCCGCCAGCCTCTCACCCTGGCGGGAAGGGCGAGCACCTCGGGACTCGAACCCCGTACCTGTGGTTTCTCAGACGCGCAGTGGTTAACGCAGGCACATTCACAGTACCGCTGCACCATCGGCATCCGGCGCGTAGGCACAAACGTTTTGGCGTTTTTTTCACTGGTCGATTCTGCGAAATAATGAGCGTTTTCTGGGAAACATGGGATGACCTTGTGCGTTTTGCACTCATTTCGACCCACTCCACTAAACACTAACGAGACCACTTTATTTTCTTTCCGGTAAAAGGACCCTGTTAAGTACAACACTACTAGGCAAATTGCTGTTCACAGTCAAGGGCTGAAGGACCATTCTGTCCCATCCGCGGTGTGCTTTCCGGCCGTCACTCTGGTGGCACGGGACGGGATCCTCTGGATGTCCGTGAAGTTAACGATTTTTTCAGCGATTTTTCAGCGATGAGTTCCGATTCTCCGAAGAAGGTCCCATGGTCAGTTATGGCACGAGAACACCGAAAATCATATTTAGTTTGCAATATCACGTGACCTTGTGATCAAAAGCTGGATCAAAGAACGAGGAAACTCGATATTGCCCCAAAAATTACCGTCCGATTTTTAACTTCACAAAAATCAGAGTATTTACCACAGCAAGAACTAGCGTCCGTCAAAAAATTTCTAACCTTTCAAGGTCACCCTTCAAGGTCAAACGCGGGCTCAAAGGACGGGAAGCTCGATACCACCCAAACGTTACCGGCTGATCTGAAACTTGCAAACATCAGAATATTCCCCCACAGAAAGAACTAGCGTCCGTCAAACAGTCCTGACCCTTAAATGTCAAACGTAAGCTCAAAGGGCGGGGAACTCCGTATCACCAAAATTGCCCCGCCGATTTTAAACGTTAAAAACATCAGAATATTCATCACCCGAAAGAACTAGCGTCCGGTCGGTGACATTAAAATCCCCGTCCTTTGAGCCCACGTTTGACCTTGAAGGGGTGACCTTGCGTGGTCAAAACTTTTTGACGAACGCTAGCTCTTGCACTTGTAATATTTGGATGCTTACAGTTTTCAAATCGGCCGGTAAATTTTTGGGTGATATCAAGCTTTCTCGTCCTTTGACCCAGTTTGTTGACCCCGAAGGTCACATGATATTGCAAATAAATTATCAATTTTCGATGTGCTCTCGTGCCATAATTGACCCCTCCGCATCTTTTCAGAAAAAATCGGAACTCGTCGCTGAAAAAATCAGCCGGAATAAATCGCTAACAACACGGACATATCCTTTGGTCAGTACGGAGTCCCTCGAGGTGTGATGCTGTGAAGGTTTGTGTATGCAAGGCATTGCTTCCGACCGAGGAGTGTGCCGTGTTTTGATTTTTGAGGAAGGAATATCATCAAACAGGAAAGCATTGATTTCAGATCGGGAATCTCAAGCCAACATGGAGACGAAGGGGAGTAAGTCTATCGGCGCCCAAATCCCGTCCTGCAATTACCTCGTTTTGTTTGGACGCCTCTGGTTTAGCGGAAAGTCAAGTTAAGTCAACGGCTGAGTCAGCATTGACCGTGAGGCGGTGAGGTGTTATGCCAAGTTATTCCAAACGGAGTGAGGGAATTATTTCACTGAGTTAAGGTTTAGTGGGTCGCGGGCTGAATTTTATTTGGTCTAGAAACCAGCATTGCAGCTGACTTCACTGGGGGAAATATGCAGTAACCACTGATGACATGGGTGTAGGAACAGGGGGCCAGGGGCCAATGCCCCCCCCCCCACACTTTTCAAGGTGGGGTCAGCAATGTTAACTGGCCAATGCCCCTCTCCCCCACTTTTGCGGATAGAAGTTGCGTTTTGCAACTTAAATCCTGCTTTTGTTGTTTTTGTGCTGCCATAGATATGCATGCATGCCGATTCACCTAGCTCCCTACCCCCTGCAGTTGCGTAATCTTTTGCTTTTGCCCATTGGCCATCGCTGAGTATCGCAGCCGCGCAGCCGACACCGCGCGGCTTACGGAGACTGCAACGCCGGGCGTCGAGGGTCTTGCCAAGATCTACGAGCGCGCATGTTCAAACCAATGTTACATAATTTGTCTCAGTAATTATCCTGACTGAATACAAAACATAATACAAACAAATCAGCTAGGGTTCTTATGCTGATCCGGGGTCAACTGCGCGGGTCAGAAACAATCCTGCGACAGCGCACAGTGTAGCTCAGATTTTACGCACGCGTCGCGGCACACAAAATTGTAACCTCCGATGCATCACCCTCGCTCACCACCGTCCTATCGGCCCGCTCGCCGACGTGGGACCCGAGCACCCAACACTAAGCCATCGCTTAGAGTTGGGTGCCTGGGCCCAATTATAAGCACCCGCCTTATATGAGTACAACGAACACCTACCTTCCCGCACATTTCCTCGAAACCAACTCTCAGCCCGGCTGCCTTTGTGGCGCGACCCTATGTCGAACACAGTCTTCCTGTCAAAATACAATAAACAACTAACGTGTTGGAAATTGAGGTATATGCACCCTTCGCAAAGTTTAAGGCAGACCATAACCAGCACACGTTTCTTTATGCTGACTGCTCCAGACACGACGGCTGTACTGTGCCCACCTTTCGCACGCCATAGTTAATGTAAATCATCCCGCCTGTCATATCACGACTAAGTTAATGTAGCTAAACTGACAGGAATTCTGTCAGCTCCCTGCTCGACAGCGCAGTCACATGGTTGGACTGCTATTCCTCGGGACAAGCTCTCACCACTTCGTAACTCATATCACCCAAATGCATACGGTATACGTCGAATGTTCTGCTCTCTTCCTGCACAGACTCATGTAATATTGCTCTGGTCACACTAGTATACATGGAAAGGAGACACCCGGTGATCCCGTCCCCATCTGGCATTGTTTTGCTGCCACCGTCTGGAGCCGAAGTTCCCCATCAGGGAAGACACGAGCTACCATTGTCACCGGAGGAAGGGGTCGCCCTGTCTATGACGCTAATCCGCCCACCAGGTGACGACGACCTTGGTCCGCACGAGCTTTCTGCTTGTGAAAGAAGGGGAGGCGAGTGGACCAGACGGTCCACTCTGACCTGCAGACACGGTAGGTGTATCCCCGGGCTCACTCTGACCTGCAGACACGGTAGGTTATCCCCGGGCACTCTGACCTGCAGACACGGTAGGTGTATCCCCGGGCTCACTCTGACCTGCAGACACGGTAGCTCTATCCCCGGGCTCACTCTGACCTGCAGACACGGTAGCTCTATCCCGGGCTCACTCTGACCTGCAGACACGGTAGGTGTATCCCCGGGCTCACTCTGACCTGCAGACACGGTAGGTATATCCCCGGGCTCACTCTGACCTGCAGACACGGTATGTGTATCCCCGGGCTCACTCTGACCTGCAGACACGGTAGGTGTATC